AGGACATAGTATTTTCCTATTTAAAACATTTCCTAATTGCATCAGCTTAGGAGAATGAAAGGCACTTCCTCCTGTCAGTTACAATTACTGCAAAAGCTGGTTCAAAAAAAAAACAGCAACTGTTTTATTCTGAACTCCAATGTATTATTCTTTCCTGTATATTTATGCTACTTAAAAATGCAATTATAATTATTGTTTTAAAACTTATTAAATATGCTGTCACAGATGATTCTATGGCAATGTTTTTTCTGATATTTCCCAAAGTGTACATATTAATTTTATTTTTTGACTTTTTAAATCAAAATGAACGTACAAGACAATTAGAAAATCAGAAAATGCTTATAAACTCTATAGGCTAATGGCTCTAGCAGGGACTTTCTTAATTAAATATGAAGAGTACCTAGAGACAGCCTTATATTGGCTCTGATCATCTTGTATGAGAAAATTTATTGGTCCGGAAAGCAAGAGAGAATATCTTTGAATTGTTTCAAGAGCAAAGCCACATCTCCACACAACAGGTCAAAGAAATAAGTACAATATACATATAACTTGACATATTTTGCCTGTTGCTATAGTAGCAAGAAATGTCTCTCCAGTGAATGCAATGGGGTTTATGACCATAGCTTAGTACAAGATGTAACAATGATTATGATGTAATCAAACCCTGCAGGATAGTTAATTTTTGTCAATAAGTCTGCCAGAATAAATTTTTCAGAAAAAGCCAGGGTAGATGATTTTATGAATTTTCTCTGTGTGATATCAGGGAAGGAATCATCTCAATTTATAAAAGAAAGAGTGATGGGCAAGGAGGATATAGAGCTTCTCCAGCCCAAGTGGCAAGTGGTGATAAGTGAGAAAACAGTTTCCACCTGGAAGAGCAGCAGGTATACAAATGTCCCTGGTGGGAAATCCTCTCCAATGGCAAATGAAATTATGCAGGGATTTATGGCTGAGAAAGCACAATTTTCCAAAAGGTAAAATCACACCTACCATTCAAATATTAGATGAAACATGTCAAAGATTTGCTGTTGCTAATTAATGACAAGATCAGTAAGATGTTAAAAAGTGTTCAAAGGAGAATCTGAAGAACAGATTTATACATGGACCATTAAACAAGCCATATGCTCAAATCATTTGCTAATAAAGACAAAACTAGTTAATATCCTATTTGGCAATGAAATACTTTGTTTGGGATTACCTTTTCTATAAGACAAATTAATTGTTTTCATACTGGACAAAATTTATTAGCATTTCTATGGAAAAAATCATTTGCATTCCTATCAGTTTTCTTTTTTTAATATTTAACTTAATTTTTTTATGGAGGTACAGGGGATTGAATCCAGGGCCTCTCGCATACTAAGCACATGCTCTACCACTGAGCTATACCCAACCCCCAACAGCTTTCTACAAATTAACTTTTACCTCTACAAAGTTGTAAAATGGACTTGAAAGAGAATTAAATAAGCAAACCCTTACAAAATCACATAATTCCTGGAAGGTCTGCTAGACAATGCCCAGAACGCCACTGAACAGACACCCATTAATCTCTTCTGCTGGTTTCGGATCTTTTGACAATTTATTCTGATGTAGTTAAATCAATCAATCAGCCTGTTCTTTGCCCTTGTATTCCTGGCCTGGTAAAACCTTAGACAATAGACATAAAAACTATCAGCATGTAGGAGAAAAGATATTTCTATTAGAAAAATAAATATTTTATCTATTTTAAAGAGTAGACTCTGAGCTCTTTCAGAGAGTAAACAATGGGAGGACCAGCCTAACGTTGTATTTCTTCGTATCCTGCATGACTTGCACATACAGCCCAGTCAATCTTGATTTGAGCTACACATCAAAATGACTAGATGGGTTTTCTGTTTTGTTTTATTTTGTTTAAATAGTCATCCTGACCCTACTGAAATCTACTGAATCAGGTTCTCCAGGCACAGAATCCAATTTTCTGAACTTTTTAAATGATTCTGATGTGTAGCCACAGGAAAGACATGCTGTTGGTTGACTGAAATGGTTCAAAGAAGTTATTTTCTCAAATTGCTGTGGAGTCCAGAACACAAACTAATGCCTGACTTTACTTGCAACTATTCTATTAAAACCAAAGTATCACTATATTTTCTTTTCAAGATCACTACAGACTTTCTCCTTTACCTGCCCATAGTTTCATTTAACTGTGGAAGAATGGATTGATTACCAGTGAAGTCCAGGAAAGAAACTTATTTCATGCTCTATAACTTAAATTATTACAGTCTGTACCAGCTAACTCTTCTGAATAACCTCTCAAAGTTCTTCTGAGTTTATACCACTTCAAGTAGCCTCAAAATGTTTATAGTATACTTGCACCATTGGATTTTATTAATTAAAAATTCCTTTGAGGTACTTACTATCACTATCATTGGGTATTAGGAGGACTATGTGAGGTTCCTCTTGGTGGGGATTTGCCAGATTTAAGCTATTATTTTCTTACAATCATGTGACATTTTTCTTTCAGGACATAATTCGTATAGGCAGTGGGATCTATATTAGGCAGGTGTATCTCCTGTATTAATATGATAAAAATATACACAATTCTAAAAATGTCATACAACTTTCCATGGCAGATGGAAAACATGAATGTTACTCTTCCAAGACAGTGACTGCTAATCTTGAGAGGTGAACTGAAGCAGCCGGTCCCAGTTTCAGAATAACAAAGGTATTTCTGCATTCATTGTTGCTTTTTCCCCAACATGTTTCAGGAAAAAAAAAAACTAACTTTTAACATATGCTATTGATAATAATTATTTTTGACCACTGTAGTTTGCAATAATATTTGGACTCAGTAAGCTTAAAAAAATATATAGTTTCTAAGTATAAAAGGTAATAAAGGTCACTGTAAAAAAAATGAAATTAACAAAAAAAATTGAAGAAAAATGAGAAGTATCTAATAAAACTACTATTGACATATATGTATTTCTTTTGTATGTTTCTATGCATATGGGTAATATACTTGAGAGCATACTGCATGCATTTTTTCACCCTGAATTTTTAAATTAATAAATAGTATTTTTCACATCATTAAAATTTCTTTTAAAAACTACTTTTAGAATGGCTACAAAATATTCCATTTCATGGATAAACCATAATTTATTTAACAATTTCCTTATTATTAAATACTTAGATAATTTTCCATTTGGAGTCATTATAATAATTGTAAATCAGCTTTTAAAAAGCTGTTTTCTCACCAAATAATATTCATATTATGCACTAGCTGTCTAAGATGAAGTGTTACCCATGGACAAACCACTTGAATATTCTGGAGATGTTTCAAGAAATCTAAAAAGCCCTTAGTTTTAAAATGTCAGTATATACTTCTAATTTCAAAATGATTTTTAGACAAATTAAAAGCATAATGAGATATTACTTCATGCCTGTTAGAATGGTTATCATCAAAAAGATAAGAGACAACAAATGCTGGTGTGGATGCAGAGAAAAGGGAATGGTTGTACATTGTTGGTGGGAATGTAAATTGATGCAGCCACTATGGAAAACAGAAAGGAGGATACTCCACAAATTAAAAATAGAACTATCTATGATTCTGCAATCCCACTTCTGCCCCACTTCCGTGAATATAACCAAAGGAAACAAAAACACTAACTCTAAAAGGTATCTGCACACTTTTGTTCACTGCAGCATTACTTACAATAGCCAAGACATGGAAACAACCTCAGTGTCCATCAATGGATGAATGAATAAAGCAGTTGCGGTATAAATATATACAATGAAATATTATTCAACCATAAAAAATGAGGATTTGTGACAAGACAGATGGACCTTGAAGGCACTATGCTAAGTGAAATAAATTGACTGAGGAAGTCAAATACTGTATGATCTCTTTCATATGTGGAATTATTAAAAAAAAACACATAGAAAAAGAGATTAGATTTCTGGATACCGGACGTGGAGGGTGTGAGGAGGAGGAATTGGAGGAAGGTGGTCAAAAGATACAAACTTCCAGTTACAAAATAAACAAGTACTAGGGATATAATATACAACATGATGACTATAGCTAATACTGCTGAATGTCATATAGGAAAATTACTGAAAAAGCGAATTATAAGAGCTCTTATCATACAAGGAGAATTTTATTCCTTTTTTCTTCTTTATTTTCCTTTTATTATATCTATATGAGAATTTGGATTTTAGTTGAACCTATTGTGGTAATCATTTCACAATATGTGTAAATCAAACCATTATACTGTATGACTTAAATTTACACAGTGATGTATTTATTTCTCAATAAAATGGGAAAAAGGTTTTTTTTAAATAAATAATTAAATATGAAAAATCATTTTAACTTACCATGCTTTTGTTTTTCACACCAGGATTTATTGAATTATCTTTGGTGTCGCTAAAAGAGAGGTGTGACTAAAGTGTTTCACAACTGGAAGAATCATTATTTTTAAATCCGTCCTGAATTTCAGAGATCATTTCCTTTTGGTTTGAACCAAATTCCAAGAATTTGGGCGTTTCATTATATTCCTTTCCAAATTCTTCATCCCTCTCTATTCCAATATCTAAAATATCTTAACAACATAACAAAAGTGACCAATTCTTTTTTTTTACAGTTGCACTCAAGAGATTACTTAATATTAATATTTTGGTTCCATTTTGTTCAAATTACAGCACTTGGCCCTTTGGAGTGTTTAAAATAAACATTCTAATTTTAGAGCAGTCATGAACTTTTTTTTTTTACTTAATATCTAATTCATATTTGCAAAAGATGGTCTTGTTTTCTTCTCAAAAATATCTTGTTCCTGTTATTTTCCCCCAACTTCATGTGTTACTTGAGCTTGGTATTGTTGGGTTTTATTGGCCCAATGCTCATTTAAAACAATATAGCAACACTCTTTCTCTTCCGGTCCCAGGCGATTCAGGATCTCCCGGCTCCAGTGCAGACATGGCCATGTAGAAGAATCACACCACACACAACCAGTCCTGAAAATGGCACAGAAACAGCATCAAAAAAACCCTGATCACAACTATACGAATCTCGTAAGGGGGTGGACCCCAAGTTTCTGAGGAACATGTGCTTTGCCAAGAAGTACAAGAAGGGCCTGAAGAAGATGCAGGCCAACAACGCCAAGGCCACGAGTGCACATGCTGAGGCTGTCAGGGCTCTCTTAAAGCCCAAGGAGGTCAAGCCCAAGATCTCAGAGGGCAGCAGCCTCAGGCTCAGTCGACTTGCCTACAGTGCTCACTCCAAGCTCGGGGAACGTGCTCCTGCCCGCATCACCAAGGGTCTCAGGCTTTGTTGGCCAAAGGCCAAGGACAAGACTCAGACCAAGGCCACAGCTTCAGCTGCAGTTCCGGCTCTGGCTCTGGCTCCAGCTCAGGCTCCCAATGGCACCCAGGCCCCTACAAAGTCTCCAGAGTAGAGGCTTTCATCTACTGATGTGAGGATAGAAGGACTAGTGTGACCCCTGGGCTGCTGCCTGCATGGGGCTCATGTCTACCTGTGCTGTTTGTACAAATAAACCTGAGGCAAGATCTGTTCAGTCAAAAAAATTTATATATATTTTATATATATATATATATATATCAACAATCTGCTTAATAATCAGCCTCATTCCAAAAGTAATTTCATACTACAGAGTTTAACATTTTAGTTAGTGGTTTAAGGACCCACAACACACATTTCCAACTAGAGCAATTGTTTTAGCATTTTATTTGGAAAGGCAAAGAAGCAACAATATTAAAGACATTTAAAAAAAACTCTTTGCTATCTTCTACAGCAATTATTTAAAGTGTTGGAATATAAATAAATAAAATTTCACTGATGTGTAGTTTAGTGCTACGTGTTAAGTTAGATGGCTTTGAATCTACTGCTATTAAATGCCAAAATATGAAACTGTTAAAAACAGAATAACATGTCCACTAGCTTAAACTGATAAATGAAACTGCACCTCCATTTTGGAAGTACATAGCTTGTGACATTTAAATCTACGTCTTTCTAATAATACATTTAAGATATAATTTTCTTTGTAGTTAGAAAAATAATTGTAGCATTACATGAGACTGTTTTTTCCTTTTTTAAAGGAATGTTAAAAACAACTTATACTAGAAAAAGAGGAGACAGCCCAAAATAAGAACTCTGTTTCCCTCACAGACATAGAAAACAAACTTCCAGTTACCAGGAGGGGAAGGGGGTGGGAAGGGATAAATTGCGAGTTTGAGATTTGCAGATACTAAATAATATACATAAAGTAGATAAACAGCAAGTTCATACTGTATAGCACAGGGAACTATATTCAATATCTTGTAGTAACCTATGGTGAAAAAGAATATGAAAACGAATATATGTATGTTCATGTAAGTCTGAAGCATTATGCTGTACACCAGAAACTGACACAACATTGTAAACTGATTTCAATAAAAATACATATATCCAAAAAAAAAAAACCACTCTGTTCCCTTTGTTACCACATTTTGAGTTTTGCTAGGTTGGTGTCAGTGACAATGAATACAGTTATTTTTAATTATAGCTTTTTTTCCAGGGTTTGGCTATACCTGATTAAAATGCAACATTGATATTGAACTGTCTGAATTGATTAGTGTATTGAGTCAGCATCAAACGTCAAGATCTTCTTTTTGATATTCTAAGTAAATTCTTTGTGGAATCTTTGCGCAAAATAAGTGACCCACCCCATTTCTGACTCTGTGACACAGGCTGAGTCATCTTTGCAACTATCTCAACTAACCCTAAGCAAAACTACATTATTCAATGTGCACTTTAGTGTTGTGAGATAATAGGAAAATATATATATATATATATATCTGTTTCTGCAACTGGTTCCTGGCACAGAGCTCCTAAAACTCATGTAAATAATAAGAGTACTAGGAGTATCTTCTGTTTCAATATTTGATCTTTGAGCCCGGTTCCTGACATAGAGCTGGAGTTTCCTGTGTGATCTCAGTGCCTTTTGTTCTAATGAGGTGATTCTTAGTGGGATCCTGGATGGGGGCTGGTCACCAGAAAGATAAAGCCTTGATTAGAAACTTGTTATTTTCAGCCTCATTCCCCATTCTCCAGGGAAGGGAGAGGGACTGGAAATGGAGTTAATGATGAATCATACTACTTGATGAAATTGCCAAAAAAATCCCAGAAGTAGGGGGTTTGGAGAGCCTCGGGGTGGGTGAACACATGGAGATGCTGAAAGAGTAGCACGCTAGGAGAGAGGGTAGAAACTCATCTCCCCTTCCCACATATCTTGCCCTATGCATCTCTTCCATCTGGACGTTCATCTGTATTCTTTATCATATTCTTTTGTAACAAACCAGGAAACAGTAAGTAAACTGTTTTCCAAGTTGTATGGGCCCCCCTAGCAAAATAATAGAATGCAGAAGAGGGAGTCATGGGAACCTCCAACTGACAGTTTGCCGGTCAGAAACACCAGTAACAACCTGGGCTTGCCATTGACATCAGAAGGGTGGAGGCAGTCTTGAGCCCTTAGTGTGTGGGATCTGACATTATCTCCAGATAAATATTGTCAAAACTGAGTTAAATTGTAGGACACTTGGGGGGTAGGGGGGTATAGCTCAGTGGTATAGTGCATGCTTACCATGTGTGAGGTCCTGGGTTCAATTCCCAGTACCTCTGTTTAAAGTAAATAAATATAAATAAATGAATAAATAAATAAACCAAATTAACCCTCTCCCCGGGGAAAAAAGAAAAAAGAAAAAAACTTTAAAAAAAATTGTAGAACACCCTGCTTGGGGCGAGGGGTGGGAGGAGGTCACAAATTTGGTGTCCAGAAGTATCAGGTGAAGTGTTCTGGGTGAGTAGTAAAGGGGAGACACAGAGAAGTGAGTTGCTCCTACTCAAATGTCCTTAATTCAAGCCCTCTTTAGCTTCTTTGTATCACTTTACACAGAGCAGTATTTGAGAACATTACTAAAGTTTAAAGTTTGCCAACATAAATCCTGACTGGGCTAAGTCAGTTGAGAAAGATTTCACAGTTGGGGAATATTCTTTGTCAACTATTCTATCACTTTATGGCTCACAGGGATAATAAAGAACCTGGTCGCAGAACTGAATGTGGCATACTGAGCAGACCTAGAACTCTCGGACTCCATGAAAAAGAGGATTGAAAGACCAACCACTCAAGAAAATTGCAGGTCAGTAGATGGATAACTCAAGTGCAACCCAATAGAGATCTACTCAAAACTTGCTTACTCTCCTCAAAAATTGCAAAGGTAAGAACCAGCCTTCCCTCTCTAACTGTCCAGTTTAAAGGGAATCGAGGGTTCTAGAGATTAGTATATTGAGGCACTCCCAAGATCATTTACAGCAGCCCTACGATTTCATTAATTAAGAATAATTGAACTACAAGGACCTTAAAAACCATTCAGTCCTACGTCTTCATTTAACAACTCAGGAAACTGAGGCCCGAAGATGTTGGTTAGGTGTTCAAGGCCACAAGATTAAGCACCACTGGGGGCTGGAAGTAGCAATCCCAGTCTTCTGACTTCCAGACCAGAGTTCTGTTCCCTCTGCTGCCTGTCAGATGATGGTCCCCAGGCAGGTGTATTCAAGGACAAATGAATGAGAGCTGAATTGCTGTGAGTTATAACCACCATACAGAGGAGATCATGCTGTTTGACATTCTGAAAGGAACAAGTAATAAATTTTTCTAAGTTGCCGTGGTAACAAACTTAAATACAGGAACAAATAGAGGAAGATGCAAAAACGTGGAACTGTACTTAAATTCACTCTTAAAAACCTGATAAAAACTAGAGAAATGGTATTTCATATTTCTCAAAATATCTTTACTTAACTCTGTATCAGAGTATATAATAGCGACTATAAAAAGATTGAAAGAAAACCTAACGCAGAAAATTTTCTCATAAGAAAATAATACTTAGAATTATTCATTTGAACTGGTCACCATTAAAAACACTCTGATAACATGATGAATTTAAATAAATAAGAATCTCTGAATGTTTCTTAACGAGATATATCTGAGTTATACAAGCCAAAGTTTCGATTTAAGGTTGGGTTTTAAATGTAAAATTTAACAATTTTATATTTAGCGTTTAAAGCAATATTAAGTAGAAAGGGAAGGAGGGTGGAAAGGAGAATTCTTGATTCTTAAGTATGTGTGTGCAATAAGGTGTAGCCAGAATTAGAGCAAGTCTACAGAGTAAACATGACAATTCAATTAAATAAGAACAGAACAGATCATATTTGGTGGCAGTATAAAAATCTACACACACTGTATCTATGAGGAACTTAAGCAAATAAATGGCTTCTCTTTGCCAGTCTGCACGTTATTTATAACAATGTGGTAAATCCTTCTAAAAAGCCAAGAGAATTTAAGATTTTAATGCTAAAATTGTTATTCATAGCTGAAAATAATATATATAATTTTTAGTAATCAAAAATCCTTGAAGATTGCTTTATTTTGTTCAGATTTTAAAAGCACAGATCTTCATAAAAATATATCTTGTCTCTTTAGCATTACATTCTCTATCCACTGTCATGTGTCTGATATTCTAGAGACATTTATTATTTCTTAGCTAATTGCTTTTCTTTTCTTTTTTTGGATTAAAAAATTTTTTTCACTGTACATTTTTAAAATTTACATACATGAGCTATTCATTGTTTCTATGAAGAGTTTAGCTAATTGCTTTTTGATAGAGAAACACATTGTGCTTGGCTGTGGGAAGGGGAATATTTATATTGACAGTTCCCATTCAGATGTCATAAGATCAAGCCTCATACCTGACACCATCTCAGGAGTTGCTACCTGCACGGAATGTATTTTATAAATATTCGTGAAAAGAAAAATGAGCTGAGTCTCCTCAATATTAGGAATGCAGATTTACTTTGGGTCATATAAAAGATTTAGTGGGTACTGTATACCATAATCAGAGGTAGCATTGTGTGAGGAACAATGTTCTGGGCTTGGAAGTGGGAGATGTGAGTTCGAAACCTACCTTTGCCACTAACCAGTCAGGTGGAGAACCTTCACTTCCATAGCACTTAAAGTAAGATCACTGGACTGAATGATCTGTAAGAGTCCTTTCCGGTAGATATAAAATTCTATAATTTTATTATTCCCCTCTAAAGTATAATAAATTATATTAATATCTGCATAAGGAAAAACTATAGGCATACTGACAGCTTCATTAACTAAAATGATATTTATTCTTACCTAGACAAACAATTTTTTCATTATGATGTTCAATTTTCATTACTGGCAGACATTTTAGTGCATTTAAAGTTCAGTTTTGCATTTCCTAACTACAACTTTAGTTTGGCTGCACTTAGCTACATTTGCAAGCATTAGCAAGACACTTAGTATGATTAAAGCAAACAAAGGATTATTCCCTATTACAGAAGTATGAACAAAATGCTGGTTTATGAATTTTCTACTTGTTATTTTGTGCTAAGGGAATTCTATCTTGTAATACGCCTATTTCATTTGTCTTAGGAAAAATAAAAAGATATTAAAAGCTCTATGCATCTCAAATTGTTAGGATTTAGGTGCATTAAAAATAATTCACTATATATTAAAATTAGTTACATTAATTATTTTTATTGGCTTTCATAAAATAAACGAATTGTTTTATTTCCTCACCTGAAAGGTTGGATTTCAACCAATGTTAAAGCCAATGAGTGAGCTAATGTTAAGTGTCCTATTTATTTAAAAATATCATTTGTTTTTTTAAAAGCATAGTTAATACTTATAAAGAAAAATATCTGTGATAAAGAAATGTAACCTGACTAAAGCTAATGGAATTATAAACTACAGTTCTGTAGAGCTGCTACAAGTCTTCACTGTCACCTATAAATTCATTTACTCTAGAAGATGTTTCTGCCAATTTTCAATATGGAACTAAGGCCAGAGGACATTCCTAATATGCATATCCCAGTATACTAATAAATGTCTACTAAGCTAAGAAAAGTTCCACTTTGGTCAATCCAAAAGGTATTTGCGTGTAGAAAATGATAAATATTTATTAAATACAAAGTAGAAGAAAATAGAAATTCAATAGCAAGCTTAAGTAATGGGGAAGTCAATTAAAGCAGAGGATACTGCCACCCCTGATTAGCAGTATATAGACTTAAATAATGATGCAGAAATGATGATAAGCAAACACTAATCCCAGTCCCAGAAGTAGCCAAATAAACAATAGCCAACTAAACAACAGGTAGGAACATAGGAAAATAAATTGCCATGGAAAAACTGTAACAATTTTTCAAAAACAGAGAGTAATCAGCATGAATATTGAAAATAAAAAAATTAAAGGATACAAAAAACCAATTTGCAATCCAAAACCAATAATTCTATTAGCATGCCAAACAACATAAATCTAAAATGCAAAACACTAAGAAGATGGCAGAGAATATCATTAGTATTATTGTCACGCTTTTTTATTTTATTTGTTAGAATGTGGCATAATCTTCAGATTAAGAGATTTTGAGACAGAATGTAAATAGTGTAATCAATTTATGCCCTGCAGAATCCTTTGGGAACAACAGCACAAATAATTCAAATTATTGTATTTTGATGGAAAACAGAATGGAGATTCCTCAAAAAACTAAAAATAGACTTACCATATGATCCAGCAATCCCACTCCAAGGCATATATCCAGAGGGAACTCAAATTCGAAAACATATATGCACCCCAGTGTTCATAGCAGCACTACATACAATAGCTAAAACATGGAAACAACCTAAATGTCCATCAATAGATGACTGGATAAAGAAGTTGTGATATGTTTATACAATGGAATACTACTCAGCCATAAAAATGAATAAAATAATGCCATTTGCTGCATCATGGATGGACCTGGAGATGGTCATTCTAAGTGAAGTAAGCCAGAAAGAGAAAGAAAAATGCCATAGGATATCACTCATATGTGAAATCTAAAAAAAAAAAGAAGACACTAATGAACTCACCTATAAAACAGAAACAGACTCACAGACATAGTAAACAATCTTATGGTAACCAAGGGGTAAGGGGGTGAGAAGAGATAAATTTGGGAGTTTGAGATTTGCAAATATTAATTACTATATATAAAAATAGATAAAAACAAATTTCTTTTGTATAGCACAAGGAACTATATTCAATATCTTGTGATAACCTTTAATGAAAAAGAATATGAAAATGAATATATGTATGTACATGTATGACTAGGACATTATGTTGTACACCAGAGATTGACACATTGTAACTGAATATGCTTCAAATTAAAAAAATAAAAATTTTTAATGAAATTAAAAAAGGAAAAAACCCAAATTATTGTATTTTGCAAACTATCCTCCCTCACATATGTTCCTATGAAGTTATAATGACTGTAGGTTTTGTCATTAAATCAGGCCTGGGTTCCAATTTAAATATCACTTTTAGCTGTCTAAACTTGAGCAAATTATTAGATCACTGTTCCTTATAATGTACATTTCAAAGTGAATATTAATAATATTCCCTCAAAGATTAGATGTAGGGATGTAAAATTACATCCACAAAATGTCTAGCACATAAAAAGCATCTGGTTCTTAAAAGGCCCAAGTCTACTAGCTTGTAGTTACTTGGCAAAATAACCATGTCTTACAATAAATTATATCCTTAAGCAGAATGTGTCATATATAA